GAATTGAGAAAAGTGATGTAAGCGGTGGCACGGCCAGCTTGAATATGTCTGGCGTAGTTCTGCTATGATTCTGGATTATCAGCTGATTCCGGGATGGGTCAAACAAAGCTGTTGTATTGCCTGCAAACTTAATTCAGTAGCTGCATCGGAGCGAATTTAACAAAAAGAGCGACCTTCATCGAAAACTGCTACCGGTCCCTTTCCTCGCCATGCACCAACTCGTCTTAAGTAAGCATTTCCAGATTGTTGGTCAAAGGTCCATGCTTCACCGCCAGATGTCCGTACTACAGCCACACCTGTCCCTTCAGGAGTGCGCACAAATTTTTCAATGATTTCCTCTTGTTCCAAATGATCAATTCGATTCTCATGGTCGTTAATGGCGACACGTCGTAACCCTTCCTGCTCAGCATTGAAGAAGGACAGGGGGTTGAACGCATAAGATACTAATGGGGGAGAGGTCGTTAAGCGAAGATTGCTCCCGGATACACATGTCTTTTCATCGAGAGAAGGTAGATTGGACATGAGCAATTGCGCAGGCGGCCGTGGGACAGAAAGTGTCGAAGGTGGCATATGGAACAACGTAAATTGTCTAAGGAGCGTGGGTGGCCGACGATCAATGTTCTGTAGAAGAATAAGTCAGAACTGTCTAGTGTGACGCCTCAGAAAATCCCCAAATCGGAACGTTTTCAGGGATTCTTTCTGGACTCCTGTATGGCGTAAAACCTATGCGGGCAGTATCAGGATCTAAACGAGACTCAGCATTAACAAAAGGTCCATAACAGTTGGATCCTTCGTTAGCAAGTCCGCTTCGCATCCTATCCGCTCACATGAGTTTGAGTCACAAAAGGGGGTCCGAAAAGATCCTCAAAGTTTCAGATTGGGGGTGTTCACGAGACATTGAAGTGAAATGTTTGTAGACGTACTGCAATACCACGGACAACGATGGACCCATCTTTCAGTATGCGGAGAAAAAGGTCCCATTCTTCATCCCTAATTTCTTCTAGCTTCTTGAGTTGATCCTTTTCGTTCACAAATACACTCCTCTCTGTAGAATTGGTCGGAAGTTGCTGATCTGCTGTTAAACGAGCAATTGATTGCAAAAGAATTTGACGATCGATTGGAAATATGAAAGATGCCGGTGGCATGGATGTTAGCGGTGAAGGAAGAAATGATCCAGGGTCTAGTGCTGAATGAAGTTGTAGACGCTGTGGCGCATCTAAAACAGGATGAAATATGCGAATAGTTGAGTCTGAGGTCAATGTGTATAGTGTCAAGTCAGGCCTGAAATTATAAGTCACATGTTAAATTGTGTTTAGTTTGGAAGAGATCTGTGTACCGGCTATGTGATTTAGGAGCCCTCCATATCAAACGCACCAATGGTCGAGGATGGCGTATTGTTTGGGTTTCCTGTGGAAGGGCCGTTAAATGCAATCGGACCAAGTTCCCGTGCTTCTGCATTATCTTTGTCAGTATTTTAGATTTTTAAAGAGACTGGGAAACCCACCGAAGATATTGACGCAATGTGGGTGAGAGAGGGAGAAAATAGGATTTGGCTCAACATGGGCACGCTGTTGCAGTAAACTCAGTTTTCAACATCCATTCCTGAGGCATCAACAATCTTACGCTGCCTCCCATTTTTTGATCCAAGTCGGGATATCATTTTGTAGCGTTAACGTATATACAGAAAGGGTGGTCGCGGTTCCGACGGCCAACAAGCCTGTATACTCGATGTCATTCTAATAAAATTTCAGCTGGTTCGAGCTCACCCGACTTGCAATCTGCAGCAGTAACTTCCTCTCCTAGCGACAAAGTTGAATGAACTTTGGTCGTTATAGACGATTTCCGTGCAGCAGACTCAGAGACGGACCAAAATGCGAGTTGTGAGCCCATGGAGGCTACTATCTAACACATGATATTAAACAAAGCTAATCAACTACGTACAAAAGGCACACACTAGCTTCAGCCCAGCATCCGTTACAACCACCTTGAGCTTTCCTTTGGTACTATAAGAAGCGGGGAATGCTTCCCAAAATGCCAAAATCCGAAGAAGACTCAATTCTCGGGCATCCAACACGACCAGTGTGTCTGCAGATGCGTATAACTGGGTGCATAACTCTCAAAAAGTAGAAAATGGGGTGTAGAACGCGTCAGGACTTACTAGGAGGGAGTGTCGAGCAAGGGAAACTTGGGCGACATCATTGGGCCAACCTGTATAAGCATTCAGAAGTGAGAGCATGGTACAAAGACCACTATTGAGGTGACAGGAGAAGGAAAGTCATAAAATAGGCTAGGGCGGAGGGGGTTAGCGCCTGAGTACGTAATCAAGCGTCACTAAAGTACCGTAGATCGCTATATCCGACAAGAATTTACGGCAGGTCACTTGAGACGACCATCTGTCTATCATCTAAAATATTGTTCTTCTCGAAGCACTTGGCTAGTGACTTCGATGTCAAACTCGCTGATTATATTTCGGCTGAAGCAAATATATGGTACAGGGTCGCCGATGCCGTTTCTTTCAAAAGATCTATTTGAGGGACTATCCAACCTTGAATTTCAAGATGTTCTCGTGAAGACATTATTGCATTCTCCTCCGCTTGAGCAATTCCCACCATCACCGGAATCGCGGCACCGATTCTGGAAATGGGTAGTGACCTTTTTGGAAACAAGTGGAGAGGCGAGCAACCCATCTTTTTGCATGATGACCCGCTGAGTCACAAAGTTGTACGAAGAGCAGGAGGTGGACGAACGTATATACGAAGCTTGCCTCGACTCACTCGCCACAAGGTCTGTTAGAATTATTATTTTAGGGGTTATCACAGTTGCCATTTCACAAAATGTTCCGAATACTCAAAAATAATTGGACACACTACAATAATATTGGGAGTCTGTCTCGTTTTTGAAATAGTAAATCAATTTTCAGACGAAACAGTTACTGAAACGCTCAGTTTTATGCTTGCTAATGTTAAAATGGTGATCGAAACCGTTCTCAAAACAGCATCAAAATAGGGCCACTGTGATAACCCCTATTTTACTGGAAATTATCGTACAATTAATGATAAGTTTTACAGATCCGCAACTTTTGCTCTCCAACCCCCATCCCCCGCTTACTGCACTTATTTTTGGCATATACGACCAGAAAATATACAGTCTGAATCTACACTACGCACCACGACACTCCTCGAATCACGGACATTAATTGAAGGTGGGACAACTGGCTTCCGAACTTGGAGAGCTAGCCTAGTGTTCGCCGATTGGCTTCGAGTGAATCCCGGTATATTAGAACGATTTTTTCAGGTGGAAAATCTCTTACTTATCACAGATGTCGTGCAAAACCGTCGAGTACTCGAATTAGGATCCGGAATCGGATTTTTAGGGCTTGTTGTTGCCGACCTCCAACTGGATGCCAACCCCGGTAGCTACAGTCTAACGATGACTGATGTGCACTCGGAAGTTCTATCACGCTGCCGTGACAATTTTCAATTATCCTGCAGTAGGTATTGAATCCCGGAGGTGTTTTCTGGTTGGCTAATCTGTTTCTCACTTCACTATATATTAGACAACATGAATAGACATTCGTCGTTGGATTTTTGCTTGCTGGACTGGTTCGATGCCCTACAAGATGATTCCACTGCCGATCCGAACTCGGTACTCAATCAGATTTTGATAAAATCGGACATTATTATCGGCGCAGATCTGGTAGAGCCATTTTCTCTAGACGTAGAGGCGTTTGTAGGAATGATTTGACTTCAGGTCTATGACACATCGGTTTTGCCAGCCCTATCTGCACTCTTCGTTAAGTTCTTTCTCAATAAGAACTCTGTAGTTAAAACTACGTCACGGAGGTGCACCCCTTGCATTTATATCGCGCTAACAGTTCGACAAGAGCAAACCTTTTCAGCATTTACAGAGTGTCTCGGTGCGTGTCTGATATGCTTTATCAGGTGTATAATTAAAAATCACATCTAGCACAACATAATCTTCTCTACGAAGAATTAGATATCACTGGGATTTATCCGGAACAATTTTTGAGCAGAGCAGAAGACAGCGGCGATTCTCATATAAAGTTTATACAAATAACTCAGTATGATGGTGCTTAGTATGCTCATTTTTTCGAGTATAAATCCGTAACATTTACGCTATTGATTGATTTCAGGAATTTCAGGAGCTTGCTGTGTTGGTATCAAGATCTAAATTTCACGTATGCTGAGCTAAACCGCCTGTTGGCCCCTCACACTTATCAGTGATACCCATACGATTAATACAAGATCTTCCTCGGATCCGAAGCATTTTTTTCTACTATGACCCCTCCGTTTTCGATTAATATCATTATCTGCGACAAAAAGGTTGTTTAAAGCATTGACGATTTGCTGACAACCACTTAAACTTAACATCGAACATCTGTCTATAGACGTGTCATGCGCTCCCTGAACTTGCAATTCGGCCAGCCCCCACACATCTAAATGGACTGAAAATGGTCACTTTCAGCCCTTCTCACTCCTTCAGAATGGGATTACAAGACTGTTTTCTTTTTGCACAAGCCATGCAAAATGTCATTGACTATTTTCATTGAGTTCAATCCCAGTGATTATTCCAGATTTTATCAATCTTCAGATAGCTGCTGGGTAGATGTGGCCATTTGATGATGCAATTCATCAATGCTAAATATCTTCCTAACTGCATTCACTTGTTCAGTTACTGTGTGGTGAACTTGATATAAGCTGTCTTTAAGTGGAATCTATCCAATTGTATAGCCCTGCCCTCACAATAATACTGCAAAACCAGACTTATCACAACATCCAAATGATATTAGTGTGAATGCCAAGTCTTGGCAGTACAACATGTTCTGCAGGGTGACAGACATTTGTTGGAATTGGAAATACAATATCTAGTAGCTACAGCACAAGAAATATGTAATTATTATAAGTCCCCAAGTTGGCATCAGTCAATTGTGACATGTAGAATATGTGAGTATATATCCTCTAAGCAATACTACCAAATAAGGTCCAGTAGCTCAGGTGGCAGAGCATTGGCATATATAGCCAGGAGGTCCTTGGTTGAATCCCAGACTGGGTCAATACTTTTCTATACCTTTAATAACATTGTCCCATTGCTGTTGGCATTCCTATCTTCATGGTGCCAATTCCAGTTGTATTGAAAATCATTGTGTCAGTTGCCCTGATACTATAGGGTGAGGTGGGATAGACTTATTAAGATCTAAGCAAATGGGGGAAGGAGGGCGAGACCAATGATATGAAAAGAGCTAATTGGGGGACTGATGATAGAGATTGTACTAGTTGGGAGGTCCAACTCTATAAATTTAGTGGAGCTTGGCTTCAACTTATGTGTTGCACCCTCACATGAACTGTTAGGGTGCTCTGGTATTTCAAACAGAGCAGATAGTATGGCAAAGGTGAAGATCAACACTTCACTCAATTGACCAGTGGGTTGAAATACTAAGAGTTGTAAGGTAAGAGTTCATGGCTTACCAAAGAATGTCTTTGAGGGTATTGAGAAGGGAGGAAAGAGACTGAGAACTAGTAGAGGGTAATCTAAGTCAATTTTCAAACTAAAGAAATGTAGCATACTGTTACGACCCATTCCTGGATACTTCAATATCCAATATCATCTGAAACATCCAACCTCCACCCCAAGTCTCCAATCCAACTTCCCATCTCAATATCTGATCCTGACTTCCAACTACAGAACATGCCTAAAAAGGGATATTATGTAATAGTATTCTAGACCATGTTTCTACACATGTTTAGCTATGTACATACTGTGTTTTCTTTTGAGATTTTTCACTATTTTTCCTCCCTTGGTAGCAGCCTGCCAATATGCAAATGCCAAACATTGAAAAGGTTTTGTGAGTCACTGTACTTTAGCACAGCATGATCACATGATCTCAAAGTTCCACGAGGAATATGGTGGTCCCTGCCATGTCCACACACACATCATCCAGGCCATCTTGGGCCATGGCTTCTCTGGCGCCTACTACCAACATTTCCTCCCCAACCTCCCCACCTCCTGTCCCTGTGGCACAGAAGACATCCAGTCCTGCCTCTACATCCTTTCCGAGTGCCCCCTTCATGAGGAGCACCACCACACCCTCCACACTGCCTCTCAAGACCTATCACTCCCCATTATCCTTGGCACCTACAAGGGCCTTGAAGCCCTAGCTGAGTTCATTGCCACCTCTGATGCTTTCCAGAAAGTATGACCGTGTTAGGGTACATACATGGCAGGTTTCCAGAGAAACCCACAGGATATCTGGTAGGACTTGGCTTCAGCTTATAGGCTGCACCCTCACAAGATCGTGTTGTCCAATTTCAGACAGGCGGACAGGAATTACAGGGAGTCTGGCAGGGTTCATGGGTTGAGGGGTCGTAGGCCAGAGGTCATGGGTCAAGAGGTCAGGAGTCGAGATAAATAAGAGAGATAGATGTGTCAGAGCCCGTGGGCTCTGACTAGCGTGAGTGGTGTAATTCAAGGAGGAGTTTAGAGTGGAAAATCTATTAGATTACTGGGGGGAATCTAAGCCGATTATCTGACTGGGATTGTATGTACAACATCTGTGTTACGACTGGACAATCCCGCTGGACTCCGGGCACTAACCCGTACGCCCCCACACGCTACAAGCACCAATCATCTGTTTATAGGATTTCCTGCCCGGACTCCGTTATGTCAAGCCTCGTTACATTCGACCTCATTACGACACATATCAGTCACCGAACTTCCCCTGGACTCCATCTCTGTCTATGTCCGTCTTCGTCCCACGCATCAGTCACCGGTCCCCGCTTAGAATCCCGTCACCGCTCTAATCGAGCCCCATTCCCATTTTAGTCAAATGACCTGTCACGATTTAGGACTCCGCTCCCGCTCCGTTTCCCGTTATGGGTTATGCTTTGTCACGATTCGGACTCCGCTCTGTTCCGTTCCGCTCTGTTCCGTTCTGTTCTGTTCTGTTCTGTTCTGTTCTGTTCTGTTCTGTTCTGTTCTGTTCTGTTCTGTTCTGTTCTGTTCTGTTCTGTTCTGTTCTGTTCTGTTCTGTTCTGTTCCGTTCCTAACACCAATTTGGTGTTTACTATTCCCGTTTTATGTTTTGTTAGTTTCGTTTCATTATTACTGGATTTGGTATGTCATGCATTCCACGGTCTATATAAACTGGCAGATGTTGTACATACAATCCAGTCAGAAAATTAGCTTAGATTCCCCCCAGTAATCTAATAATATTTTCCGCTCTAAAACCTTACTCGATTCACATCGCTCGCACTAGTCGGAGCCCACGGGCTCCGGCACATCTGTCTCTCTCAACCAACTCGACTCACGACCCACGACCTCCGACTTACGACCCGCGACCCAACTTACGACCTACGACCCATGAACCCCACCCGGACTCCCCGGGATCCCCGTCCATCCGTTTGAAATTGGACAACACGATCTAGTGAGGGCACAGCCTATAAGCTGAAGCCAAGTCCTACCGGATATCCCACGGGTTTCTCCGGAGACCCGGCCTGTGTGTGTATCCTAACAGTATTTTCTGACTAATACTCGCAGATTGTTTTCATTATGCCACCAAGAAGAAGTACACGCACACAGTCATCAATGCCTAAACCGTCGACTCTTCATTCCCCGTTAACTCTGTATACCAGTCAGACGCTTGCGAACCAGTCAGAACCCATGGAAGAAGCCCGTATCGAAGAAGTCCCGGAAAACCTGGACAAATCAGAGAACGAGTATGATTCCGTGTCCCCCGACAAGGGCAAAGGTGTCGAAATCCCTCTCAAAAACCCTCCGCCTCTTCAACGACCGCATTTGGGGGATCCTACTTCTGAATTTTTAGCAGGAACCATAGATAAATTCATGACTCACCTGCTCGAAGAACGAAAGAAAAAGGAACAAGAACCTCCACGGTCAAAAGTCAATGCTCCAGAACCCTTCACGGGTTTCAACCCAAACAAACTCTCCACTTTCCTCATGCAATGTCGCTTCAACTTCCGTGATCGTGCCGCTGCATTCTCCACGGACTCCCAAAAAGTCAATTACGCACTGTCATATTTGTTGGGATCCACGTTGAAATGGTTCGAACCGGCTTTTAGCGGGATTTCCGAGGAAGAGCCGCTCTGGCTTGAAAATTGGGAGGCGTTTGTTGAGGAGCTTGAAACCAACTTTGGCCCATATGACCCGACAGGAGAAGCCGAGAATAGTCTCACAAATCTTCGTATGAAGGACACGCAGCGCATCACGGACTACATCGTCCAATTCAATAATCTTGCAGCTCGTTGTCAGTGGGGCGATCCCGCTCTCCGCCACCAATTCTATGCCGGTCTGCCGTCCCGCCTTAAAGACGAAGTCTCAAAAGGAGAAGATGGCAAGCCAAAAACCCTGTCCCGTATGTGCCTCAAAGCTCAAAACGTGGACGCACGTTATTGGGAACGTCGCACCGAAGTTGCCTGCGAGATGTCCGCGGACAAAGTAAACAAGTCCAAGGACAAAAACAATAACACCAATTCGTCAACCAGCAACCAGAACTCCACGCAATCTGACAAGAAGAACGATAAAAAGTCTTCAAACAACAACAACAACAATAAGGACAACAAGGACAACAACAAGGGTCAACAGTCCGGCAAGCAAGCCGGAAAACCCGACCTCTCAGGCAAACTCGGACCCGATGGCAAATTGACTCCACAAGAAAGACAATGTCGTATGGACAACAACCTCTGTCTCTTGTGCAGGAAACCCGGTCATCGAGTCCCGGAATGTCTGCTGGCAAAAGCAAACTCTTCAAAGGGTCGATCAGCCAAAGCTTCCACGGAAACCCCGTCGAAGGACAAACCGGCTGCCAATTCGAAAAAAGAGTAAGCAACCCCGCGGACTCCGTGCGGGTTAGGGGTTGCGTTGCCTCTCCACACATTCAAGAGTTCACTCGCCTCAACGCATCCGCTCTTTCACATTTTGATTCATTTTTCGTTAAACTTATGTCTAATATGATCCCGAAATTCGTTTTTTCAGCTCTCATAGATTCCGGCTCGACTCATTGTTTTTTTAGATACAAAATTCACGCAAAAAAATTCTTTGTCAACTTATTCGATAAATCCCGTCACACTCCGCCTCTTCGATGGCACAAGTAATTTGGTTGTTACCCAAGCTTGTGATTTACCCATCAATTTCCCTTGTGGAACATCTCAATTGGTCACTTTCTATGTGACCCAGTTAGACTCAAGTTGCTCGGTGGTCCTAGGACATAACTGGCTTACCCGCTACAATCCATTGATTGACTGGATAGCTAACAGTATAACATTCCAGACTCCCGCGGCGACCGAGGAAACTGCACCTGTCTCGGCCTCCACGGCACCCATGGCCTTCCTGGCACCTGCAGTCTCGAGGACTCCTGTGATCCCTACGGCACCTATAGCTTCCCCGGAACCCACGGCACCTCCGTCCATTTCTCTGATTAATGCTGCAGCTTTTATTAGGGCTTCAAAAATGGATGGGTCCCAGGTGTTCACTATCAACTTAAAGATTGATGAAGCAACTGGATGTTTTTCAACCCCAGTATCTGAATCTGAGCAAGCCGCTGACCTAGAAGGCGTCCCGGAGAAATATCATGACTTCGCGGATGTTTTTAGCAAGCGGAAAGCTGACCGGCTTCCGCCTCATAGAGAATACGACTTAAAAATTGATCTTGAAGATGGCGCCCAGCCACCCCTAGGACATATTTACCCACTTTCATCCACGGAACTATCCGCAATCCGTGATTTCCTGGATGAACATTTGTCCATAGGTTTTATTCAACCCTCAAAGTCTACTTTTGGAGCACCTGTTCTCTTTGTCAGAAAAAAGGATGGATCCCTTCGACTATGTGTTGATTTTAGAGGACTCAATGCTGTCACCAAGAAGGATAAATATCCACTCCCACTTATATCTGACCTCCTCGATGCTCCGCGGAATGCCCGGATTTACACCAAAATAGATCTCAAGCACGCCTATCATTTGGTCTGGATTGCCGCAGGCGACGAATGGAAAACCACTTTTAGAACCCGTTATGGCGCCTTTGAGTGGTTGGTCATCCCTTTT